AGCTGAGGCAGCCCCCACCAGGTAGCGCACACGACCCCCCCCCCCCGCCAGCCCCTCAGGCGCGCGGCAACCAAACTTACGGACGACCTTCCACCGCCTGACACCGCTACCCTCGCGCAGGCGCGGAAACCACCCGGCGCTTCCCCCTCCGCTGTTACTAGGTGCGGACCGGCGCATGCGCATGCGCCAGGGCCTCACGGCTTTGCGCGGAGCTGGGCGGGCAGCGCTGCCCCCTGCCGGAGTCGCGTGGCCACATGCGGCACATGCGCACAGGGAAACAACACGCCCGGCAGGGGCGAAGGGTAGCGTGTTTTTGTCCGCGCTGCGAAGTGCGCGCGCAAACAACCTGGGGTCAGCCTCTGGAAAGCGTGAGGCTGACTTGAAAAGCAGGAGCAGGTGAAACAGGGGCAGCTTTAGCTGTGCCTCCTGCCTCAGGTTCACAGTTTGGGGTTTTTGCCAGTGGTGCAGCCTTCTCAATGTGGAAGGAGGATGGCTGGTCTTGTGCTACGCCACACGTCTGGGCTGGCCTGGCACCTTTGGTTTTGCAACCCCCTGCCAAGCCTGGGCTTTGCTTGCTAGAGAAAAAAGTGTTTGCTGTTATATCTGTGTCCTCGTGCCTTCGGAAGGAGGATGAGGATGTGATACTCATGGCATTAGATGATGAAGTGAGCTTCAGGCCACAAAAGCATATCTACTTTGCCCTGCCTTCTTGACCTCAACAGGCCAACCACTGCTCGGGTACAATGGCTAGCGTCAATGATGTACAGGCATCCTAGTTTCTCTGATTTCAAAAAATCCCCAATTTTCGGATTAAAACAAGTAACCCAAAATCCACATTTTTCTGTGAGTAAAATGAAACACTGCTATACATATATATAAACAGCTGTAAAGAAGCACAACCAGTACACTGCCTTTTTGTTGCATCATGTTCCCACCTTTTTTTACTAGTTAATTTCATTATTTTGTTTTACTAGTTAGTTTACTCGTTTATTTAATTTTACTAGTTGATTTCATTATTTTAGTTTTTTTACAAATTAAAATTATGCTTTTATTTTTATACAATGTTACTCATAAGATGCACAGATACATTTTAGTATCAAATTATATATATATATATAATTCTATATTATGCATCAAATTTATCTGCAGAAATTATGTTTTGTTTTGTAAAAAAGCAAATGTTCCAGTAAAGTTATCCAAAAATCTGTATAATTTTTGTATAAAGACTGGGGGAAGTGTCAAAACCAGCCTCCAGTTACAGAAGTGGTTGAAACTGAATTTGCAGAAGGAACACAGTGATAGATAAAGATCAGGCCTCAAACTCAGTAGTGCTGTAAACTGGCCCGGCCTCTTTGATTTCACTGGTGATGGGCTGTTTACATGAGCTCTAAATTTGACCTAATATATTCCTTTTCCAACAAGTCTCAGGTACTAAAAGAACAACAAGATATTGATAGTTATTTGTTCTTCATTTATTCAAGTTTGCAGTTTACATTTTGCTCTGGACAATGCAGTGGTCTAGCAAGCAGAGTTGGCACCTTAGGCAAAATGGGGGGGGGGGGAGAAGGGAGGGTGGCACAGTTCCAGGAGTGGGGGGGGTGAAGGGTCTATGTATGTGCAGCAGTCTTACGCATGCTGGGAACTCCTAAACAGTCCCTGAATGAGCTGCTCTGCCTGCCTTAGGTATTGCTGTTAAATCAGCAACTGCAGCCAGCAACTATTTTGGAGTTCCCAGCATGGGTAAACTGTGGATCTACTATTGCTGCTGGGCATTGGCTCTGCTGGGGTGGGGAATGATTCCAAAGCCCCTCCTAACTTTGCACCTGGGCCTACTGGGGCAGTGAAACTAAATCGGGGCAAGCCCCCTCCCAGGTGTAGGAATCAAACAACAAGCTTTCAAGTATGAAGACTGCTGTGAAATGCCAGGAAATCGAAAGCTAGGAGAATACAGCTTTAGGGGTTTGGCACTGCAGTAAAGTAGGTAGCTTCCTCAAGAAGAGAGTCTGAGGCATGGACTTCTATTATTGTTTCTGCCATGGACTTGTTGAATTATTCCCCAATTAATTCAGGCCACCCAGCAGTGCCATACTGAGACACCCTGCGTATGCTACCTTTCACACTGGAAGTATAGCCACCTTACAGCTTATTGGTATGTAGGCAGAAATACATTAAGGCAGCTTCCCTACTTCTGGCTTAGGAGACCATGCCCATGAAACAAGTGAAACATGACCTAGTAAATGGATGTTATAGATATGTGGGCTCTATCACACTGAGAAAGTCACTTAACAGCTCTGTGCCTCAGTTTACTAAACTGCAAAATACTTTGAGAGCAGCGGATAGAAATCACCAACCACTATGCACTGTTGTTAGACAAGTTACAAATATTTTTCCTTTTAAATAATATCTGTGGTTCTTCAATTGCCAAATTGAGGTTTCTGCAGAGTGAGATTTCTGTCTGTTGTAGCAACTCTGACCTTTGTCTTTTAGGTTTTTCCTTCAGTTCTTCATGGTTGTTCAGGCAGATAAGATGATAGGAATCCTATTTTACATGATCTGAAAAGACTAATAATATTCCTGCAGGTGCATTTTGCAGAGGCAGTAGAAAAATGGTGACAGACTGCTGTGTAAGCAGATCTTTTTTTCCCCAAGCAGAAAATACAGCTGGTTGCAAAGCCCAATGCTGTATGTGTAAATAAAAGTTAATTAAAAGAAATATGAAACACAGAGAGAAGGAGAAGTGTTACAGGCTCTGAACCAGGGCTCAAGTAAGCAACCAAGCACAACATATTCATTTTATTTTTGTAGTTGCAATTTTTCCTCTCCTGATTATTATAATTTCCAAATAAAGGCACTTGTAGGTGAACAGGAATGAATGAGCAATGTGTATTGCAGTTCAAGTGTTAGGGCTAGTAGAGAGGGAGATCATTGCTATGCTGTCACAAATGAAAAAAGAAATGGAATCAAAGAAAGAGGGCTTCAAAGTAGCTAAAGATTGGTCAACAGCAGGGAGTGATGTTTGAGTTTGTTTCAAGCTTTTTATACGTCTCTTGAGTCATGACAACTGATTAAGTAAGCACCAAGTAACCATAACAGCTAACTAAGCAACTTTTAATGGGAAGGATATGGAATAAGAATTACTTCTACAATATCAATCATACATTTAAAGAAAATTCAAAACTAGATAAGCAGAGGACTCTTCTCCCACATCTGATCTATATCTGCCTCCAGTGCTTTTATCAATCTCAGCCAGCACTATACAGACAGGACAGCAACTGGAGGAGGATACTTTTTAAAGCAGTGCTAGAGAAGTATATGCATATAGAATAAAATTACCCTAAAAAAACCTGGATAGGATGTGCAGAGCAATGTACCACAGAGTTCCTTTTTAGGTGAAATGTAAAATTGAGATCTTGTTAACAGTAGGATTTCAATGTGATCAGGATATGGCTTATTATAGTCAAAAGCAGCCACTTCTGCCATGGAAAACATGGAGGCAGTTCACTGTGCTTGACAAGAAGGAGCTGGTAATAGGATAGGATCATAAGTAATGCTGGAAGGGATCTCATGAGGTCATTTAGTCGAGGCCCCTACTCAAGGCAGGGTCATTTTTTACTAAACCATCCAGTTACTGGATGCTAAAAAGACTACTGTATCCAACCGAAGAGAAAAACAGGCTGAATTTACCTCATTGGTGTATAATCTCCTGAGTTGGAAACTGGGATTAAAAACCTTTAACAATGTTTAAACACTCTATTTTGTATCTTACTTGAAACACCACCTCTCCAACAACACAGAGCCCCTGTCTTAGGCTTTGATAACTCAGATATCAACAAAATGCAGTTATATATACCATCCATGTAATAGTTGGTGACTTCATGGTTTTTATGGACAGTCTGATACTCTCTATGAATGTGACTACCAAACACCTAAAATTATCCTGGACTTGTTTCTTGCATCCATCCATATCATAGTTTTTGCTTTTTTCCCTTAGTTTTTCCTCTCCAGTTCGCAGGAGTGAGTTAGAATGATGTAACATAGGAATTTTATTAAAGCAAGCAAACAGAAACAAATCATTAATCTCATGTAACATTTCCAGACTAGAATACGCAGATATGAGAGCTTTTCAGGTCTTAACACCCACCCCCAAATACCTCTCTCAGCAGAATAAAATATTTTAGTCTTAATTATAAGGTATGAATAAAGAGAAAGCCAGAAGTGTACAGAAAGCTACAGCAAAACTTGCTCTGTGTTAGTGATTTCATGTAAAACCTCATTTGTTTCTTTTTCAGACTAACTTCTCCTACTGAGTTTTACTTCTCTTAACTGGGGAAAATTTACTGGTTTCAATGGGCTGGGAGGCATGTTGGTTTTATAAATTATAGCTAGCAGGGTGGCAGAGCTGCTTATTTCTTTTTGCATATTGTATATTTGCTTGGTTACAGTGCTGCTCACTGAAAAAACAATAATCTTTCAGGATGGCAGCTTGCTTCCAGTATTGTTTTGCCTGTCTGAAAAAAAGATTTGGATGTCCATTGTAATGCTTGCTACTGGCAATGGCTGCATGGTCTTCAGAGTCTGAAATGGGGGAATCTTGTCCCTTTCTCCATAGATTGGAAAATGGCACTCTGCCATTGCAACAGAGAGGCAGCATTTATCTCCCCTCTCCTTCAAAACTGCAGAGTGCAGATCTCTCAAGGCTCCTTTTACAACCCCATAGACTGGTAATTGTGTTTGGAGAGGTAGCAGTTCCAGTGTGTGCATGCATGTAGGCAGTAATCTTCTGAACAGAAGCACAGTAACCGTGGGAATTATGGCAGTTTCACATTTGCCCTGGAGTGGTGGTACTGGAGCTTTGGATGGATTGGGCACTTTTTAAAAATGCTGGCCTCATCCCTTGCTGATGCACTATTACTTGCATCCATCATTAGCAATGCTAAGGAACCTTTGGGTTTGAAGGAAATATGCCAAGGAAACCAATTAAAAAACATTTTGGAAAAGTTAACACATTTTCATGCCACAACTAGCAAGGAGTGAGTCAGAATGTTTGTGCCTTTGATTTGTTTGGTGTCAACATCTACAAGATCACTTGGGCTTATTCAAACTGTGT